CTGTAAATTTGCATCAATTTGAAACTGTCTGAATAAGACAGCAGAAGGTGATGTCTACTGTTAATGAAGTCTCCGAGACGAAAGCCCTATAATGTTTCTGTTGGCAGATACACTCAACAAGAGCTCATGCTGGATCGACAAGGCAAAGGGCCACTCTTATTCTTGATACCACATCTTTCACCTGTCAGCTCAAAGTCTGAACAAGATATGGAAGAAAAAAAAAATAATTGGCTGAACAAACTATTCAAAGTGCCAAGACAATTTGGGATGTAAACATAACATGTTGGGACGGTGAGACTTCTTACTGTACTTTTCTCTTTTGTCTCCCCTCTTCTCTGCTTATCTCCCGCTTCTTTCTTTCTGACTTTTTTTTTTAAAAGATCCTCATCCACTCTGTAATATCTGCAGTAAAAGATGATCTATTTGCATATGGATTTGGCACCGTCATGTTTCATGGATGAGTTCTGAGGTTTATGGTGACCATGAGGCAGGATATTTCACACAGTTAAATCAGATAGGCTGATACAATTAATAAAGCAGGACTTTATGATCCATCCAAATGCAACCTCATCACTTGTTTTGAATCAGTTATGCAAATTTTGACAGGTTGACCCCCTAACCTCCAACCACTAATACACTTTTTCAATTGTGCCAGGATGTTAAATTCCACTTGATCTTGGTTTCAAGTGTGCGTTCTTTCTTTCTTTCCTTTTGTGTTTAGTGTAAATGACTGTCATGCTGCCTCTGTTTCAGGGTAAATAAAGGCCTGAGGGTAACACCGATCAAAGAGTTTATGTTTATTTAAATAACATATATGAAGGACAGAATAAAAGCCTTGTAAAATGATACAATTCTATTAACCACCTTTTAACTTTTAAGTAAAGTAGAAAATATCTAATTACTAATATAATTATTAAGAACATTTTTTAAAAAAGCTCATATATGCAGTTTAGTGGGGGAATCATGGACTGGACTCATAATATATTTTCCAAGTGTTCGAAAAGGAAATATGATCTATGATCTCATGTTGCTGTACGGACTGTAATTGCTGTATCAAGACATACAACAGACAACAATATATTATAAGTGTCATGGATACATCATAATCTACAGATTATTATTACTGCAGTGCATCTGACTTATTGTATAAATGTACTGTTCCACATCTGACTTAACTGTTTTGTAATCTTTATATTTATGCTAACTTTATGAATGCATATACCTGTATAAAAATTCCCTTTTAAGTACCTTTTTATGAATGGCAGTCACAGTAGAAAGCAAACTATGACTGTCTTTGTTTTGTGCAAACCTGTCTCTCCGTGAATATGACAATAAAGCTTTTAACTTTGACTTAATACACCCATATATTGCTTGTCCAGAATGTTCTTAGTCAGCTTAAAGACTCTCCACTGTCTGTGATATTGAATAACTTCTGATAGTAGTGGTAAATTCATCCTAACAGTCAACAATTATGAATTGACATGCCGTAAACTGTGTTTAGTGACTGTTTATCTAGCAGTTAGCTAGAACTAGCAGTTCACACATCAGCATCTTTTACAGATTCTTACAGTTGGCCCCCCTCCCGTAATTAAGCTGCTTGCATCCAGTCAGCAGTATCTGTGTATAACTGGTGTGACAGAGAGGGATCCAGTGTTTAGTTTAGTGGAGAGCATGGGAATGTGGATTTTCACCGTTTAGGAGAAGCAGTTAACTATCCATCACACAGAGATCAGGTTACACCAACATGCAGGTCCTACCCTACTGGTCATCGCTTTTCAGGACTGTTTTCTGTCAGTAAGAACTTATTGTCTTTCTTTCTCTTTCTGTTTTTCTCTGGGGGGGGATGGGAGGGTTGTTTGAGAGAAATCTTATAGCCTCCTTATTGCTCCTGAGTAACAGTTATTCATTATTCTTCATAAAAATAAACTCAAATGCAATTTTAGAACTCTAAAACATTTTATTCATATCAAAAACACAACATACATAATATATACCATACATTAGGAACCCACTTTGCACAATAACAGCCAACAAACCAACAATATAAATGTATAACATTACACAATACATTGACATATTTACAAAGTACAATTACCACTTGAGTATCAGACTCCAAGACTGTAAGTTCATCAGATTGTTTAGTTTTAATTCTATGAAAAAGACAGAAAGTCTACCTTTTATCTTTTGTTGATTCTTTTAGAGCTGTGTCTACACACACACTATGTAGACAATGGCGTAATTTAACTACTCCTCTAAATGTGCTGTCTGAGCGCTGTAAGGGTGATACCATCAAATAATCACAGATAGCATGGTGTGGAATGGCCTGATGTCAGCAGATCAGATCTAGGATCTGTTAATAATGAGTCAGATCTGATAGAGACTAGCTTTAGTTTGAATAAAAGCTGACTGAGGATCTGATAATGAGGCTGACTGTGGTTTCATGGAGTCACACTCATAGCTCTTTGCAACTGACTCAGCTGTTCCTGTGGGAATCAAAGCCTTCTTACTCTACTGTCATGCTATAGTGAACTCAACCGTCTCAGTCAGCGCAAACATACTTTGCGTGTATGCATATGCGTGTATTGTCTTTCACAACAGAACCTCTCTACAACAAAAGTGATCAGACATGTAAAATTCCCTGCCAAGAGTCTTTTCCAACCAAACCTTTCCCACCTTAATGTCTTACTAAACCTCTGTGCCCTCACGATGATAGATGATTCCTGTCGAGCCCAGTGTGGGGTAGAAATGCCCACTAGACCCACTGTACTGGCTGAGGATTGGGCTAGTGTAGCCTAGGGAAGAGTGGGTGGGTGATGAGGAGAGCACAGGGGGACCAGGCACTTGCGGTACCCACTCTGGGCCACCTGAGTTGGGGGAGTAGCTACTAAAGCTCCCGGGTTGAGTGGGTCTATGAGGCCCATCTAAAGGAAGGTTGATCTGCAGGGGCCTGCTTAACCCATCGCCTCCCACCTCCCCGGCTGCTCCGGCAGTCACACCAGACATCTCTGATAAGAAGCTGCTGAGACAAGGTGCGGGACCTGACGATGAAGGGGAGGGGATCCTGTCCGCTGTGGGGGAGATGTTAAGGGCAGTGTTGCCAGAGTGTTTGGGACTGCCTCTCTCGCTGTCACCTGACTCTGGAGCCCCTGAGCCGCCATCACTACCAGTGAGGTGATCGGACTTTCTCTTTCTTTTCCGGCGGAAGTTTCCGTTGTCAAACATCTTTTCACAGTTTGGGTCAAGTGTCCAGTAGTTGCCCTTGCCTGTAAGCACATAGAGTTGATGAGGTTAATTTAAATTTAAGAATGAAAGAAAACACTACAGCACATTTATTCAAAAAGCAATATAATAAAACTGTAAATAGAAATGAATTTAATTACTTATATTATTCTTTGTCAGAGAGAGAGAGATATTCAAAGCAAAACCAAAAACAAGTAATAATAAAATAAGATAAAAATATTACCTGGATCATCCTCATCTCTTGGTACTTTTTTGAAGCAGTCGTTGAGTGAAAGGTTGTGTCTGATTGAGTTCTGCCAGCCTGCTTTACTCTTGTTGTAGAAAGGGAAATTGTCAGCGACGTACTGGTAAATCTGACTCAAGGTCAGTCTCCTGTCTGGCGCTCCGTGGATAGCCATGGCGATGAGAGCGGAGTAGGAGTAAGGTGGCCTGACCAGCTTCATCAGGTCTTCTTGTGAGGGTAGAGAGAACCAGCTCAGCTCCCCTCCTGGACCCCCAGGTCCAGCAGGACCCAGGTAAGGCCTCTGCATGCCGTAGTGCTGAGGGACGAAAGGAGGGCCGGGGTTGCCAGGCGGGCCGGTAGTAGCCAGGTACGGCGGTGTGTTGATGCCGGAGCCGTTGAACCAGAGGTAAGGGTTTGGGGAGGAGGTGGTGTAGTCGCTCAGGTCGTAGGAGGTCGGCGTAGTGCGCTGAGGACTCGGCAGTGAGGGAGGAGGGTAGTAACAGTCACTGTACATGCTGAGCTCAGGGGGCTCCTGGCCGAGGCTCGGGAACTGTGGGCCACACCGAGGAGGAGACTGGCCCTGGGCCTCAAATGAAGACATCTCAGAGTCTCTTCTTAACCCTTTAGTTGTCCTACCTTTCTATGCCAAACTCTTTTCGTAGGGTTGTTGTCCGCCCCTAAAAGTCCTTTTCTTGTTCAGTTTGCAGGTATTTGAATGTGAGCTGATCCAAATGATGGCTTCCAAGTTGTAGGCTACTCTTCTCCACCCCTTTCTTGTCTGTTTGTCCTTGCTTTATGTCAAGATGTCACCTGTCATACCTGCTTTATCTGTTTCCCTGGAAACGCCCCCTGTCTTGTTTGATTGGTTGTTTTCGCAGGTGAATCCTGTTCCTGCTTTGTCTTTTTTTTTCCTGCTGTCAGCTAGTTCAGTTCCTCGAGGGGGTTTTGTTCACCCTCAATTAAATAATTTTCCACTCAAGTGATTATTAACATAAACTGAGTTCAGTCGTCTGTAATTTTTTGAAGATTATGATGCAAATGAAAACAGATTGAAATAATTCTGTTTTTAGTTTTTTAAATGTAGTTTTTAAAAAGCAATAATATGTGTTGAATTAATGAATGTTTAAATTTAAGCCGGGTTTAGCAGTAGAAGTATTTATAATTCTGAATATATAGTATTTTGATATTATTTAGCCAATTAAAACGTAGCCTCTGTAACTATAGGGGACTTAGCCTATTGTTATTGGTCTATATGTAATAATACTCAAATTACACTTTTTTATAATAAAGTTCCAAATTCTTGCCAACACAGTGTACCTCGCCTCCAGACAGTAACAGGTAATTAGATTGTCTAATTTAGACAATACATTTAAGGAATAATGGTGGAAATTTACCCTGAAAATCGCAGGAAGTTAATTTACATCATCTCTTTTGCGCATTGCGTCATTTTTTAATCCCTCAAATTAGCGCGAGAACTTTCTATTTCAAACTAACGTAGTGGAAAAAAAGCTTTATATGGTAAGTTTTCCCCTGTTTTAATTACAGATAATACCTCCTAACTTTATACACTATCGCTATAAAAACAATGTATTAGTAGCTACTGTTGTTCCTCTTCACAAACTGCTGTTAATCAATTATTAGAATCTTCATTTTTAAGAAGAAACTAATGTTACCATGCCAACGTTAATAACGTTTACCGTTACAAGTCAACGGCTGGAACGGCTAGCTGGCGTTAGCGACGGTTAGCTTTTTAGCGGAGGTGTTTCTGTGAGTAACTTAACAGACAGCTCATGAAAAAAGGCCATTATGCCGCTTTCTAATTGTTAGATGGCCGATTCACCTCCGCGCCAAGAGCTTCCGCAGAACAACAACGACGACGACGAGCTGGAGCTGAACAAGGACTTGGAAAGAATAATTGAAAACGTCGAAAATATATCAGGTAAGTTATGTTAGATTCGTTTTTTACAGCACACGGTGTTTTTTTTTTTTTTTTCTAACTCGGCTGCATTTTCATCGTCGTGTTTTTTCGTCCACCTGTAGTGCAGCTGACTTGGATGGCTTATGACATGGTGGCACTGCGCACCAGCCCCGAGCTGGGGGCCTCTATGCGGCAACTGGAAGAAGCTTATCGCCGATGCAGAGCTGTTGTCTGTGGAGACCAGGACCAGGAGCCAAGGATGAGCCAAAGTCCCGATCCTGCTGCCACAACACTCACTCAGATGTGATGTTATTGTCTGTTATCATACGAGGAAACGTGTGTTGAAGCAGTATGAAACGAAACTGTAATTGTATTGGACTAGTTATAACTTTCTTCTTTGCATTAAAACGGGATGTTTCATTGATTAATGTATAGACTTGTTGTTTGTTGTTGATGTTAACATGGCCTTAAGTGTTAAGGTCTGATTTGTTTAACCTGTTAAATTAAATAATAAAACGTTTAAAATGAGAATCTGTTGGTTTTTTTTTTATAGACTCTGACTTACACGCATTGCAATTAATTCTTTATTCTTCTAATGTAAATGATATGTTCAGATTTTAATTTGAATGTTACACCAGCGTTAATAATTGCATTACAGTTTGTTGTTTGTTGTTGTTGACTTAACCTGTCCTGTTTCTGTTCTCCAGATGGAAAACACAGAACAAGCAACCCCAACTGCCTACGATGACGTGGAAAACACACTGAGAGGGCTGGACTCCTTGTCTAACTGCATGGATCAACTGGCACGTATGTATGACTGTTTATCCCCATCCCGCTCCCTTTACCCCGTCAAAATGTAAGTAAGCATCAATTACACCGGTTAAAGTTAAACTTGATCGATTTGCAAATATGCAAAGCACATGATGTAACTGTTCTACAAGATCTGCGACGTGATAGCCAAAAGTGGATTATTGTACACCAACTGCTGCGCAGCTTAGCCCCGCTTGTAGGTGTCAGCGGTGCAGAGTTACAGTACATGATGCTACACGACGTCTGTCAGATCACACTCTGCTGATGGGTAGATAGGAGTAACTGAAGGATTTTTACACACACGGCTGTCCGACCAGACCATTGGATGTGAGACATGATGTTGCAACTTCTTTTTTGCCAGAGGGGACAGTTGTGGGCAAAAAGGCAGTCAAATCTGTCTGCTGGGTTGTCTTACTTGATTGTAACTATCTCCTTACTTTAAAGGCTCCAAGCCTGGAAGCAAACACCAAATGTTTGTTATGTACTAAGCGTTGTAAGTGGGAGGATTTGCGATGCTGTGAGAGTTGATGCTGTGTCCCCCCCCCCCCTTTTTTTTTTAATAGTGTAATGTTTTGGCATGTAGTAAATAAGAAATTAACTTACTTTATCATTGTATACTAACAGGAAATAATAAGACATGCTTGAACAGATGCCAAGCCCAATTTAAGACTTAAGAGAGCTCTTGCCAAGAAAATTATATTCCCAAATATTTAATACTAGTCTATTAGTCTAGTCTTGTTACACAGTGTTTTATAATAACGAGGCCAAATAGATAGGAATTTAAGTAACTGTTAGGTGCTATAGTCCTTGGTGTGCAACCTTACGTGTTCTGCTTTGTGACTTTTATGCATCTAAGAAACGCGTTGACTTGAATTTGTGTTCTTTTGCAGTGCGAACCCAGCTGAGACAGTGTGATCTGATCGTTTGTGTTGGCCACCCTGACAAGCTGGCGTCTCTGAAAGTCCGAGAGGCACCGAAGCAGCAGCCTCCTGCACGACCTGAGGCGTGAAGAACAGAGGCAACGCTGTGTGTCTGCAAAAACATAGTTTAATCAAATATACAAACCTCCAGCCAAGTAAAAATCATCCTTATTCTCTAATTCTGTTCACTAAAAGTACAAGTTACTAAAAACAGGAATTGCAGGCCTCCGAACAAGCCTCGTGTATCCGTGCCCACGAAAGACGCAAACACCCACATTAAGCTTGGTGCCGGTGCTGGTCAGAGTCCCGCAGGGTGCAGCAGGCAACACTGGCTCTGCGCTTCAGAGCTCGGGTCTGTGGCATCGATGAGCAGCAACGGGGTGTGTGTGTGATGGTTAATCATCTCCTTCACTCCAGGGAAACTCTACAGCACAGCAGCACACAAAAAAGATGACAGGGACTTAATGACGCAGTGCAGCACAAGTCAGCAACAAATGCTCCCCAAGGCGTGCTGCAAGATGTGAACTTCTGACTTTACTTTGAGGGAAAACACTGACTTTTTCCTACTCATTTAAACATGGTACATAATGGTATCATCGTTTTCAGTTTACCTTGTTGTTGAGGCCATTGCCGAGGGAGTAGGAGTTGCCTTGGTTACGGATCTTAATGTTGTAAACCCTGCCTTGTTTCAGTAGCATCAGGGTGTAGGGGTGTTCTTCTGAGCCGTTTGAGCTGTCCCTCACCAAGAATGTCCCATCCTAAAGACACAAAATGTGGACAAATAAACACACACATTCTGTTTAATATATAATATTGAAAATCCAATCGTGTGTGTATTCATCTGCCTGTTTGTGTGTGTGTCTGTTCCAGGAAGAGGAGGCTCAGATATGTGAGACAATGAGAAGCAGCACCTGACCTCGTTCATCTCTTTGAGGGCCATGTCAGCTTCATATCTGGTCAACCTTCCTCCGTACCAGCTGGGATCCAAACCCTGGATGCATCATAATAAAACATAGCAGGGACTAAATAAACTCTCCTCATTTACCTTGTGCAATGACTGAAGTGTGTTTTATTTGTGTTCTTTTTACAACATCGCCATCTGCTGTTTCCTTTTCGAAAGTACTCAAAAGTGTGTAATTGCACAGAAAAGCTCACCATTGATATCATGTGTGTTCACAGTATATAGTATAGTATACAGTATGTGACTAAATCATGATTCCACTTTTGATTATCACCTTTCTTGGTCCCGGTATAGCAGGTGCTGTTGGCACTGGAGGAGCTGGTCTGGCAGATGACATGGAACACAAAAATAAACACTTTACTAATTAGATTTCCGAGAGTGAAGGGCTTGGCTACACTCAAGTTATTCAGGTTGGCCTACCTGCTGCACACATCTGGAGGTTTGGGGGTTCTCGGTTTAGCAGGCTTGGTGGTGAATGAGCCTAGAGCCTTGATAGTGCCGCCCTCTTGTGGACATAAAGGAAAGTGTGAAATAGAAATGTGTAACACTGTGATTACAACATTTTGCTGTTCAGCTGTTACAAACACAACATAATAACCAGCACATACTTGGTTTTCTAATGTCTTTCTGAGATGGAGCAGGTTGTCCAGGCTTCTTGCTCCTGTCAATATGCAGATTGGGTTCATTGGCTGGTGTTAGGAACAGGAAAACACATTTTACACAAGGTTTAGATCGCCAACATCGTCATCATTAAACCAGGTGCTTATGGAGTCATTAAATGTACAGTCACCTGGTGCTTTGAAAGGTCTCGGACCAATATGGTTCAGTCTTGGTAGATTTGGAGGTTTTGAGGTCCTTTCAACAGGGGCCGGAGCATGGACAGGATCTACCCGCATACATGTACATATTTATAACATGAACACCAATTCACCAAAGTAGCAGATCCACTGATATGTTTTCTCTGGGTTGCTTTCTGTTACCTCTGTGGTGAACGTCCGGAGGTTGAGCCACCTTTAGGTGTCGAGGTGGCTTCACTATCTCTGCAGTGAAAGGCTGCCTGTAGTTCTCGTCATTGGTCTCGTCACTGTCTTGTCCCTCGGTCAGAGGACAGATGTAGCTGCCTTCCCCTTCCTCCTGGTGTGGCCCCTCATAGTCATGATCACTGTCACTGTCCTGACCACAGACCAGAAATGACACAAGTAATTCAACTATTCTGTTATATGCTACATACTAAGTAGTTAAGTTGTCACTTGATATTAACAGTTTACTTTGACCCTGAGGTATGTATCTGTCTGTGGTCGCATTTATCTATATTTATGGTCGCATTTATAAAACAGTAACTTTTTACTTACAAACTCATCTGAGTTCCAATCTTCCTCCTCTTGTACAAATACTGTAGACAAATAAAAAAGAATAATATCAAACCTAAGCTTCATTTATCAGTGGCATAAAGAAACCCAAGTGTCCGTTACCTTGCTTTGGATGCTTTTGTACCTTTGATCTGCGAAAAATAAATATTAAAGTTAAGCAGTGTTTAGTAACAGTAACACATTCGCTAGAAAGTCTATAATAAAAATCTGTTTTCTTACTTATTACCAAAGGCCCTCTTCTGCTCCCCCATGTTGATTTCATTTTGGATCTTTGTAATTATTCTATAAAGATATAAAACCAAAACTTTAGCAAAATATTACATATATATGTTCAGTATTACAATATTACTCTGCACAGCTACTTGTGGCCCAAACCATCACAACCTTCTACAACCTAATGCAGATTATGCAATGTCAGAGAATATCTAATCTCTTATGTCTTGTCATACATATTACTGCACATGGCCACAGTGAGCTTTAATGGATTGTTTAACAGTATTTTTATGAAAACATTTCAGTCAGACTCACGGGATAAAAAGGCTGGGGAACACTTGAAGGTCACACTCCGTCATTTGCTGGGTGGTGTAGATTTGAATAAGAAATAGAAAATAAATTGCTAAAAATGTGTATTTCAGAATAGTAAATAAGTGTAAAAGCCTCCAGATATTTAGACATTCTTACCATGAACTGTGCTCCAGTTATGCTGCCCTTCATCACTACTCTGTCACTGCCTGATAACTTAAGCTGAGAAAATGTCAAACACGTTTAGAGTGGGCACATTTTTACTGTACGTTTGGAGTTACATAATTGTATGAAAATAACTAATTTTGTGTTTGGAAATATACTGCATCAAAATGTGACCAAGAAAAAAGACAACAAATGTTGCAAAGGAAAATTATTCGAAGTGGGTAAACATTGACTTTTTGACCATTACTCAAGCAATATTACATCAGGTTTTAAACTAACTTACCAGAAAAAAATAAACTTCAGTAAGATACTTGCTGTTACAGAAGATATAAAAATGTTTTATTTCAACCTCAAGCAACTCTTTCGATACTCACCCTCCTCATGTAGTCAGCTAGACTTCGGGGATTCCATCCCATCACCTCCATTTTAGAAGGAACATTGTTTGAACTCATGCTTGTCTCTTAAATATCACATCCACCGAAAAATGAAGGGTTTACTGACAGCAAGACCTTTTTGTTTTGCTCTCAAAGTCTTTAACATACCTTCTAAAATGAAAGTTTAAAATGACCTCAGTGACCTTTAAATAGGCATACATGTGGTTTGTCGTCTGCTTGTCGTTTCAGTGGTTGTAAAGGACTTAAGACATGATATTAATGCACACACGCACTGCAAAGTATATCTCATCTCTAAACATAGAAGCTGTTCATTTCCTGTCACTCACCTATGTACACACAGGCATGTAGCTACATGCCGTGCTTATTATTTAAGTTTGTTCTAACTTACGTGACTGATTTTTGAGATAGAGATTTCTTGAACAATTTTAACGTAGAATGTGTGCTTGAGGCTAATACCTTAATTATTTACATCACAGATTAATGGTTGCTGCGTATTTATTTGTAGTCACATTGTGTCATTTGATTCTAATTCATAACATAGTATTGTTGGAGGAGACGCAGCCTGTCTTGTGTCAGGCCTTTTGGTATCTCACACCCAGGTGAGAGAGGAGGGCAGCATGGGATGATCAATCACGCTCAGATCCCCCCAGACCCCCAGGCATGTCTGGGTGAATACATGAGTCCTCCTGGGGGGTCCTCCTGGGGGAGATCACCCCCTCCCCTCTCTGTCTTCCTCCTCTGTCCTGATAATACCCCCCACCCCCAGGAAAGGCATGGTACTGCCACTGTGTAGGAAGCATGAAATACTGTTGCAGGATATATAAGTGACACCCTCCCCAAAAATTAGACTTTTTAGGGAAAAGAGGGTTAATCAGCCGACACAAATGGAAGAACAGATGTGGTCATCTGGCCCAACCAAACAACAACATCGTTTGGGACCAATATGGAGTCAATAATGTACTCAGTGGATAGCAGAGATAAGGGGTGGATCGGTGATGGCTTCCAGTGGGGCGAAACCTTCATTAACACACAGCAGGGCAGCATGGGAAATACAGGACATCCCCAGAAGCAAACAGACAAATGGGAAGCAGGAGGTTTAGTGTTTTGGTCGTGGGAGTATAGTGTTACTCTGTGTGTAGTGGTTGTTTCTCAGCTTTTCTGTGAAACATTTCGTCTTCCAGAAGCTCATTTTGTCGTCAAAATTACATTTACCCTGTTGTGCGTGTGTTTAAGTGTTTCTAATACAGTTCAGATGCTTTCATTTATCAGTTCGCTGTGAGCTAATATTCAAATTTAAACAACAAGCACTGTTAAATGGGAAAAAGTGGAGCTCATTGACTATACATCGGTGGCGAATGCCGCCAGCAAGATCTGGCACATTGTATAATGTCATGATAACCCATGCTGTAATTTCTCACTTCATCTTGTTATTTACTGCCTCTATAGCTTAATAACTAGTGTGTAAAGATAGTAAAACAGCCTTGTTTCCCGTCCCCCTTTCTGATAGACTCCCACCCCTTCACCCCCAGGCACAGACCCCCTTATGTAGGTAATATCCATGCCATCACTCACTTAGCTGAGGCAGTGGCAGATTTATGACACGTCCAGCTGAGAGGAAGATTTTTGGAGATACAGGGGGTAGAGGGATGAAGGAGGCAAATGAATGGCTCTTAAGACACAGATAGGCCAGTGGGCGGAGACAAGGCTCCTCTTAGACCTAATTACTTGCAAATTATAAGATTAGAAATGAACTCGCAAAGGAGGAATGTGAGTCCTCTCTCTCCTGAAATCCTCACTGGAATTACATTGTAATATCTGGACCCCAGTGTGACCCAGTTTGCTGAGAAACAGTAACTCGAAGTTTGGCCAAAATGTCAGCTACTCTGTTTCCCCTCATAGGCTTTGATGTGTTGTGGAGCATTTGCATTGCCTGTGGGATGTGACAAAGACTGGGAGAGCTGCGGTGCTCCGGATTATCAGGCCAAATATCTAACTTGTAGCGGTGGAAATACTTCCTAATTTGTCTTTCAAAGCCTCGCTGCTCTTTGAATGAAATCAATACACGTTGACATCAAAGTGGATCAACGCCGGATCAACACCTTGGCTAGGTGCGAACTGCACCATGTTATCCATGTAATCCTCTGTTAAGTGTATTCAGTCCATTCTTATTCTAATGGGAACTTGTGTGCCCTTTTTATAAAATCCAAAAAGCCTGGGATTTATTAGGTAAAATAATCAAATGTTTTCCAGTTATTGACTGAAATGAAGCGTGACATTCAGGAGTATTTTATGTTTAACTTTTATTTTAATTAAAACAATATTCATAAATAGACACTCAAGTATTTATACAAGGAGGAGTGAAAAGACATTAAAAGGAATAAAAAGTGCAAACAGACATTTAACATCTTATTAAACAGACTTAATTGTGACAGGTAACCATATAAAGTATTTCATAAAGTTTTGTTTTTCATTTAAGTCCCCGGTATCTCCGTCTAAAGCCGTTCCCATCAGCACCTTCCCTCCTGGCGCAAACATGTTTCACTATAACCTGAGAGCAGTCGTCGCAGTTCACTGTGCAGCACCAGTGGAATTTGCAGTTGCAGCTGCTCACTACCTCCGTGCGCCTCTCTTCCACCTTCAGGCCGCATTCATGGCACAACCTGCGGCAGCTGCGCCTCTCCCACTGGGTTAAACCCTCTCCGTGCTGCACACACTCCCGGCCCTCAGTGCCGTACAGCCCCAAGCTGGTGTTCCTCCTGCAGTAGTCCGGGGAGTCCTCCAGGTAGATGAGCTCTGTCGGCTCGATGCTGCCGAACGCATCCACGATGGCACCTCGGTTGTCCGCGCTGTTGCCAGCCCGCAGGCGCTTTTTGTCGATGTCCAGTTTTTGGGCTTGACTGTGCTTGATCTTCAAGTAGTTGCCGATTTCTCTGAAATCTGACAGCTGAGTCCAGCAGGTTTGGACACTGCAGCTCTCAGACATGCCATGGCATCTACAGATGCGCCTCATCGTTGCCTTTACAGCCTGTTGGAAACCATGCGGGGAAAGTTCATCACTGCCAACGACTTAAAACTATGCAATATCAGATAAATGCGTGTAATGTGAACATAACTTACCAGACGACCAGCTGCGTTATTATGCAGGTTGACAGCAGCCCTGGAGTCCTGACCCGTCTCCTGCGCATCCACGTATTGTTTGGAAATCCTCTCCCCGAAATCCACGTTCTCACTGCAGCCACCCCACAACCAGCCACGGCCGCCTGCGCACAAAAAATTAAAATAAATAGACATACGGTTTACAACCACAACAGGCCACAATATTTTATTCAGAGTGATATACGTTTTTTGCTGGGAACCTCACCAATTTTTCCGTTGTTGGAGACATCGCAGCCGCAGTTGTCAAGGTCTCCCAGACTACAGTTCCTGGTCAGAGTGTACATGACTCCCGCTGAACTGATGGCGTGCACGAAAGAAGTCTCTCTGGTGGCTGTCAGTGGGAGGAAATGGGAAATCACGTTTTATAGCGCATATGCATATTCAAACAATAATAATAATAAATACAATACAAACGAATGGGTATAGATAAACAGTACTATGGTATTTACGCCTTTTACGCATACATTTGTTTATTCTTCAGCATTTTTGGACCTGCATACAGAACACAATGAAAGAACTGTAATCTGTTTACGATCTCAACCTACCGCGTTTTAGTCCTTTGAGCTGGGTTGCACTTTCGGGACAGTTCCATCTGTCCCACGCAAACTGGTGTTTGCACTCCTCTATCCCACTTTGTGCGCCCACCTGCACGCTTCTTGCATGGGTGAGGTAGGCCTGCGGGAAGAGGCAATTTATTTTTTGACCTTATTCACATTTCTAAAACTTAACTTCTCGGAGTGATCCAATCAAGTATTTACTATTTACCTTGGGTCCCGTCATAAGAAAGTTACTCGCCACCCTGAGAGGAAAATAGAGGAGAATGAGATCAATTCCTCTTAAGTGTTCACATATAGAAAAAGCATAGACAGTGTAGATAGTCTCTTACCATGCATGTCCCGGACACATTTTGTATAAAAGAGGCAGGAGCCAAAATAATGAATGCATCATTTTCATCTACAGTGTTAGCCCTCAAAATTGAGATCTAGTTATTTTGACCCTGTGTGCTGCAACTTTCTCTTTTATTTGAGTGAAGAACAGATGGAACTCTTGTTCTTTGTACCCGGGGTCCGAGAAACCTGATTGGTTGACGGGTCCAGGAAACGCCTATATGCGCACATCAAAGGATGGCATAGGCGACAGTTTGATTTTCTTCCCCAAGGCTGTGACACCAGGGTACCAATATACAAATAAAGCAATTATTTGCCACTGACAGATCAGATCGAGTCATCCATATTGTAGAAAAATATTTATTAGGTGACATTTTCAATTAAAATACATAATATAAAATATTAGACAATTTTCAGACTTCACAGAAGACAAACCCAACAAATACGGCCAATTATCCCCTAAACACCAACATAAACGAATGAGCATGCATAGAGAGGTTGGTCCTAAAAAAATCATAAATTGATGTATATACAGAATCAAATCAATGAGCTAAAGTGCATTAAAAGGTGTGTGTATGTGTAATAGTTAAATATGAAAATGGCATTCTTGTAATACACAATGATACAGTCCATAATGATGATACTGGTTCAATGCAACATGTGGTAATTAGTTATTGCGCGCACGGTGCCTGCGCTTCGTTTTATTATGTGGTTTTCTTCCACCTTCTTTACGTGCACAGTAATATTTAGTAACAACTTGCGTGCATTTCTCACACTTCACTGTGCAGCACCAGTGAAACTTGCAGTTGCAGCTGCTGACAACCTCAATGCGCTTCTCCACCACTCGGAGGCCGCATTCATAGCACAGCCTGCGGCAGCTCCTTCTCTCCCACTGGGACATATTCTTGTCACCCTTCAGACACTCCCGCCCTTCTGTGCCCTGGAATCCCAGGCTCTGGTTCTTGAGGCAGTAATCCGGGGAATCCTCCAGGTAAATGAGTTCCGTCCGGGCAATGCTCCGAAAGGTGTGCGCAATAGCTCCTCTGTTGTCTGCGCTGTTCCCAGCCCTCGCAGGCTTCTTGTCCATCTCCAGTTTCTTCGCATGGTCGTGCTTCATCTTCAGGTAGTT